GATATTCAATAAATTATTTACAGTATAGAACCAGTGATGAAACATAAATAGTGATGAAAAAGAGAAAAATGCTTATAGTTTATACTTGCTGGGATCTCATCAACAATTCCATAAAACTTTGATATATGAATCTCATCAATGATTCATCAAAATCTCATTAATGATTTCGGGAACCTAGAATCAATCAAAGTCAGCATCAGCCAACATCAACAAGTCCATGGCCATATGACTAAGTTTTCATCATTGAACAATGAGTGGAAGTAACCCTTAACATCAATGTAATGCATGCATACATGTGTTTCCGCAATCAATTCAGCAAGAATTTATACTATGAATAAGAAGCTAACTACCTTTACCAGCTTCCCAGGCACTTCATGAGCTTTAACTCAAAGATCCACAATCCTTCTTGCTCCCTATAAAATAAATTTGGACCATGCATACAGATAAATAACCTAATTATACTAAACATATAATTTACTTAGATATAATATCAACAACTTTGAACATATACTAAAAATGCCTACAATTATCTCACCAAAAGACTTGTAGAATTCAAATTCTTACTGGATCCATTATACATACTCCCTTCGTTAAAAACTGTAAGGCATTTTTTGAGGAGTTTGATGTTAAAAAATGATAGGCATTTTTAGTCTTTTGAGGTGTAATCATTGCCTTTTTTTTCAAAAGTGTCCCTATCGATAAATGACTTTATATTTATTGTAAAGTATTTAATAGGGGTAAATATGAAAAGATAAGATCAGTTTGAAAGTAGGTAACTACTTTATTGGGGGTGAAATTTGTTAAAAATGACTTACATTTTTAAATGGAGGGAGTATTAATTAACAACAAATAAAAATTTTGAAGTTAAATCACATCTGCACTCAAACAGAAAATTCGTCAAAGTTCATTTACTGAGCTGTTTTTGTTGTAGGAATTCTATTTTTTTCTGCAGAAAATTTAAAAATTCAAAACTTGAGTTATGTCAGTCTAAAATAAACAAATCTGGCTTATTTTAAAGCAACAGATGTCTACTTTATATGATAAAAATTGCATGCTTAGATAACATGTATAGAAATAAAAAATTCTAGTAAAATATTGTGAATTGAAAAAAATATAAGTAAAAATGATGAAGTCTAATCTTCAGGTTTTGACTTTAACTTTGCAAGGTCATTTGAGAACCTTCTCCTACTTGTATTCTCACCTAATTTTGTGTGCTAAGATCTCTCTGTGTCACATGATAGCCTTTCAAACTTCTCCTATAATTCCACTGTTTAACTTCAGGTTCTGGCCTGAACTTGCAAAGTCATTTGGGAACCTTCTCTTGTATTCTACCAAATTTTGTGTAGTAAGATCTCCCTGTGCTACCTGATATCTTCTGAATTTCAACCTATAATTCCATTAGTTAACACCTTCAATGCATCAGTTTATAGAAGCCTTACTTACCTTTCTTGTGTAAGAATTGGAGCTTAAATCGCCATCAAGATCCTCCCACCATTTTGAAATCTAACAAACTGTTTTGGCAAAATTTTGCAACACCATACACTATTATCATGAGAAATAATAGGTTCATTAGATCATTAAGGCCCTAATTGGAGAAAATTTTTCAGAATTTGGCCGTTCAGGGTCTCCACTGCAGTAAAGGTGCTGTCGCTAAAGCGAAGGACTACCAGTTTCCGATAAAAAATGCAACACCAACTCTTTCCCAGCAACGAAGTTTTATGATTTTAACAGTTCTAGCAGCACCGTTAGAACTACTTCAGCTACGCAAAGTGAAAAACAAGAACTATGTAGCCCAAGTAGATGCTAAGATGACATGGCACAAGCATTTGAGTTTAACTGCTAAGAGGGGGCAATTATATCATCAACCTATAGCTTATCACAAGGAATTCCACTTTCTTGACCCTAAAGCTTATTAACAGCAAGTGTGAACGCAAGAAACTTTATTTTTGCAAGCCGGCCAACGTATATGATGACATAGAACCCATAATTCAGAACTGAAAACAAACTAAGCAATATTCAAGAGACGACATTCAGCAAACAAATCAACAATGGTGGTGAAAATGGAGCCAAAGATAATCTGAGAAGAAGGCAAGAAGCCAATGTTCTTGCTGAAATCTTGCGACCAGAAAATACAATATAGACCAATATACCCCATTGAAGCATCTAGTCAAATACTTGGGACTAGGTAGAAAATCTTTAAAAGAAACATTGGACATTATGCATTATTTTTTTTTAATTTTTTTTTCTTCTCTACCATGAATATCCAGATGAAAGGCTTGAAGCCAGTGACAACACTAAGCCAGTGACAATATCCAGATAAAAGGCCTGAAGTCAGTGACATTATAGCAGGCACGATTCAGACAGCCAAAAAATTACTGAGTTTTTCAAAGCGTCAAAATCAAATGTTGCACATTAGGTGAGAATAAGAAGTGTTCTAATGGATGAATGCTTCTCCTCAATCTCCCATTTCCCCTTTTCCACTCCTTATCGATAATGATACCCACCCTATTGTGTGTGTTTACTTTCTCAGTATACCAGATTTTGAAACTTTAGATATCCTTAGCTTGTTCACCAGCCTATTTAATTTCATGCAGGCACAAGATATTAATTTTTCTCTAAATCATAACTCCTACCACCTCTGTAGATTTATCTATCAAGGTCCCAACATTTTAAGTATCAAGTTTAATCTCGCTTACATAGACTAACTTCTTCATTCAAACTAAAACCTCATAACCTAATAATTTCATTTATTATGAACACACATAATCGTTTACATGTACACATAAATAATAACCAAAAAATGAATAACCCTTTTCCTCTCAACTTTCATCTTCGTCTCTTTCACCTTTCCTTCCTTGCTCTATCTCACACTTTTCATCGTTCTTTTCTTCTGAATCTCCCTCCTACTCCTCCCTCGGCCTTTTCTTCCCGTCCTCTCCCGCTCTCACGGCCTGCCCCTTCAACCACTCTCAAAATTTCTTCCTAATCGGTATTGATTTTTATTTCGTCGATAAGAAATAATACTATGTCTTAATATTTATTTTGTAACTAGATTTTACACTGGATATTAACCCATTATTCTGTTTAAAATAATCACAATGGAACAAGAAAAAAGAAAGAAGATTTTAACGAGCTCATTTAATAAAAAAAAATTTGATAAGTGATGTTACAAAAATTTAATAAGAAGAAAATACAAAGAGAAAAATAAAGAATAATCAATTAAAAATAATTTAGGATAGTTTATTTTAACTCATTTTATAAAAAAATCACTTATTCTTTTTAAAAATCTATTTTATAAATTTTTATAATTTTTATTTAAATTGTTAAAATAATTAAAATTTGAAAAATATTTTTAATTATTTTAAGATGCTATTTTAATATTAATTTAAGGAAAAATGGCAAAAAAATTCCTCTCAAATATATAAATGACAATTTGATCTCTCAAAATATCATAATTTTCCCAAAGTTTTTAGGAATTTTTCTGTTATTAATAAATTTATATAAATTATTAAATTACTTTTGTTAAAAATAAATGATTCACAAATTTTGCTTAAATATTCAGAACTTTTTTTTTTATATTTATAACAATGTAATAGCAAATAAAAAATTTAACATGTCAAGTTGTGACTTGCTATTGCATTGTTATGAATATAAGAAGAAAAGTTGTGAATATTTAAATAAAACTTGTGAATCATTTATTTCTAACAAAGGTAATTTAGTAATTTATATAAGTTCATTATTGACAAAATTTTTTTTAAAAATTTCAAGAGAATTATAGCATTTTGAGGGATCAAATTATTATTTATATGTTTTAAAGAGATTTTATTATTATTTTTTTCTTAATTTAAAGATAATAACTAATTTATTAGAGATATAATTGACTTAAAAATGTATTATCTTTTTAAACAAAATTAGCATAATTTATTTTAGTTAAAAATATATCTGCATTAATTATCTATTTTCATTGTACGTCCCACATCTATATTTTTAATCCTAAGCCCCATAATTTTTTCAACTTTTCTTAATTATGTAAAAATAAAAATTTAAAAAAATATTCATATAAAAATTCAATGTTAATTTTTTATATAATACTTATTTATATTTTTTTAATTAATTAACGGTAAAGAATAGAAATACTTTTGAGACTTTTTCATGAGAAACGCCTGGTATTTTAAGGTTTTGTTGAATCGATATTATTTAAAATTTTAAAAAGGAATGCAATATTATCCCATTAACTGTGAGTTGACTGTTATTTGACAATTGGCAACCATTGGAATTTTCAAAAAAAATATATATATATATATATATATTTTCGTTCTTCCTCTTTAGCGTTGCAGTCAGAGCATGTCCATGTTTGATGCTTTCATCTGTTGGGTGATGGAGCTGCTGGGGTGGACGGGGGAGGATTACCGGAGCCGGTTTCGTCACACTCATCTTGGCGCTATCTAGCTTTTCCCCTTTATTCTCGCCTGGTCCTAATGGAAGCTCTTTGGGTTCCACGACGAAAGCCGCAAAGGTGAGTTGGACTTGCTGGGCCACGCCGGCGTCCTCAAGATGCTCTTCCTCCTTCGCCAACGACAACTCTAGTGGCACTTGTACCTGGGATGATAGCGACAAATTGGTGGAAATGATCATGACTCTAAAACAAGAGGGTCAGAGTAGAAGCTGCCATGATCAACCACAGCCTGAAGACAGTTCGAACGAGCTTGCATGTGGCTTTCCCAAATTGGTAACCTGTGGTGGACTATGAGGCCTTACCTTATGGTTGGTGAGCCATTGGTGCTTCTTTTTTGAAGCATTGAGAGAGGAGGTAACAGCGACGGCCATTGTCAATCTCATCTCATCTCATCTCATACTTTCTTCGCGTTTGAAGTTGGCCACCTGAGAAACACATACACAATCATCTCATCTCAACCCCCCCCCCAAAAATTTTACTGCCTTTTAGTTTTAGATCTTCGGTCTAATTGAGCATTAGGTTTGAACGTTGTTTTCAATTTCTTTGTGGGCATTAGATGAATCTATCCTTTTAAATGGGCAATTTGCATTTGAAATTTTCATTGACGCTTTATCACCTTAGAGAACTGACGCCCACGTTGTTTACACTAATATAAATTTTCTTTTTTCCTTCTTTTGAGCATGGGAGAGAGGCAAAGGCAGAGAATGAGGAGGAGGAGGGAGAGAGGTGAGCGAGACTCCTTGATAGGAAAGCTGGAGGTAGCAGAAGCAGTAGTTGGGAAGAAGAAGATTACTGGAAGCTGTAGTGCCGGCAATAATAGGAAACAAAGAAAGAGGAAGAAGGAGAGAAAGAAAGATGGCCACGCATAAGAGAAAGAAAGGAAAAAAAGAAATTGTTTTTTTTTTTTCAATTCATGTGACTGCCATGTGTCAAATAATGGTCACCTTATAGCGATAATGGGTAATATTGCACTTTTTTTTTTGAGATAATATTACTTTAATAAAAACTTTAAAATATCAAACATCTCTCTGAAAAATATTTCAGAACCACAAAGAAAATTACACTCCGCACCATGTCCAGGATATCACGCTGTCCGCTGTGGGCCAGCCATTGTTACTTTTCCACTGCTGTTACTTTCGTTGTGGGCTTTTCATTCTTCGCTTTTACTTTGCATGGCATTTTTGTTTTTACTGTCGTTTGTTGTGGCCAGACACTAATGTTCCCCAGGTTGCCATCTGAGGGGCTTTTTTTTACGCGTTTTATTATGTTAATATATTGACCTTTTATTAAAAAAAAAGGGGGGTTATACAATATTGCCACGTACCACGTACAAAAAGGAATTTTTATTTTTGCGCATAAAAAGAGAAATTTTTATTTTTAAGTTTAATATGTGTAGGATTTTTTAGCCTCGATAGGTAAAAATCATGAGCATGAAATCTGATTTAGGAATGGATTCCAAGTGGGAGTATGTTTGTTAGACCAGAATTTTGATTTTTAAGAATTCTTTTTTTTAACATAAATGTATAACAAAAAATTTTAAAACCTTATTAAAGTTAAAACATGCCTTTAGGCTTCAAAAAGGGTTTATAAAAATAAGATTGTCTATCAATAAAGTCTTTACATTGATAATAGAATTTGGTCATATAATTTTATAAGTTATAAATTAAATATTTATTAACTAGATCAATCTTTATTGGTTAATTCTCATAAATTCTGTACAATGATGAATCGGCAACCCAGGGCCTTCGAAAATATCTATGACAGTATGCATTCGATGGACTGGCTTAAGATTTTGGATGTGTGGTTCTCGACCATGACCACTAATAACTCATGACTTGAAGCAAAAAGTGATGGCAAGATGGAGAGAATATTTCTTCTGGTTTGCACACCAACCTAGCAATAATACGATGAAGATTTCTAGGTTTGTGATTGTGGATTGTGGAGCGTGGACTCCTTCCTATATTTCTGACAAGAGGCGATAACGGAGAGGATGGTGAGGGAAGTCAGCGGTTGATCTTTTTTATTTATAATTTTATGAAGGGTGTTTTAGTAATTTTGTATTATATATATATATTATATTGTGTGTGTGTGTGTGTGTGTGTGTGTCAGTGTGCACGCAAAATTCCACTTGCATTCTAAACGCCTTCAAATTCCTTCCCCTTCCCCCGCTGATTTTCTATTCCTTGTTGACATTTTATACGAACCGGGAAACATCAACGTTGAACTTTTTGGTCCGAGACATCCATGCATTCACATTTAGTCTTTCATCAGTATGACGAGCGCACCGCGCCCGCATCAGCCCAAAGTTGATCTCTTGGCACTTCAATTTATTTCAAAATAATTTTTGCTGTTTATTTTAACTTAATTTTTAGATATTTTTACTATTTGATTGATTAAAATAAAAATTATAAAAAAATTAATATTAAATCTATACTGTACATCTAGATAATAAATTTATAAAAATTATAAAAATTTTAATATTAAATTAAATCACCTAAATTATATATGTACTATCCAAAACACTGTTATCAGAACCGGATTAGACCGATCGGTCCAACCGGTTGAACCAAAAATCAGTCATAGGTCCAGTCTAATTATACCTAAAAATCACTTTTTCTGTGAATCGCTCATGAACTAGTTGAACCAACTATGAATTAGCCAAAACCAGCAAAACTGGCAAAAATCGATTGAATCAGTGTAAACACTGTATTTTGTCCGGTTATTTTTAAATTTAATAAAAATAATAATGAATTCAACCAATAAAAAATAAAAAATACAAAAATAAAATTTAATCTTTTTTAAGATTATATTTTCAAAATAAAAAAACACTTTAATTAATAGGGTTTAATATTATAGTCTACTGTTTAACATTTTATTTCTTTAGCTCATTAAAACAACTAAAAATATAATAAATATAAAAAAAATAAAAATTCAACCCTTTAAGAATTATTTTTTAAAAAATAAATAAATAAACAACTAAAAAATTGTGTGTGTGTGTGTGTGTGAACCGAAGGTTAAACGCTGGAACGTGTGTGTGTGTTCACCGAAGGTTACCTGCGTTTAACCATCCATTCTGGTCCTTCATTGCAGAAACACCAGACGAGCGAAGGAAGCACAGAGCAGAACACGCACACACATACATGAAAGCACAAGAAAAAGAGAAGGAGAGAAAAAGGTTGCACATTATAGCAGAAGCAGAGAGCAGAGAGAAATGAAGTCAGACACGCGAGTGAGCAGAAGGGAGACGCATGCATGCATAAAGCTTGGTCTCTCTGAAAACGCAGAGAAAAGAGGAGGAGAGCAGACTTTCTACTACACACGAAAAACACAGAGAGAGAAGAGGAAAAGAGACGAACACAGCAGATGAAAAAAAATATATACTCTTATCTACACCAGTCACAGGAAGGAGGATTGAGCAGAGCAAAGAAAGTCACGGGGAGGATCCAAAGTCATAGACTCGCACAAGCAGAGAAAATGGATAAAGGGACAGAATCCTAAGATCCTTTCGGTTGCAGAGAGAAGAGAGGAGAAGCAAGGATGAACACACAAAAAAGGGAAGAAAAACAGAGCATGGACTGCACTCACACAGGCAGAGAAAGAAGGGGAGTTTGCACGTAAAAGAAGGGACCGAGAGTAGCAATGGAGGAGAGATGGACGACGAGAAGAAAGAAACAGAAAAAGAAGAGTAGAAAACTGAGAAGCAGAGACGGGAAAGAGAGGGAGACGGAGAGAAAAAACAGAGTACAAACTGAGAGGGATTGAAGATGGACGAAAATGGAGGGAAAGTACCTGACCGAGAGTTTAGGAGTGGGAGAACATGAGAGCAAGACAGAGAAAAGGTTAGAGAAAGAAGGGACCGAGAGAGCATGAAGAAACTAAAAACAAATAGAGATGAGAAACAGAGGTAAAACGAGAAGAGAGAGAGATGGAGAGTGGGAGACGAAGAGAAAAGGAAAAACAGAGCGAAAAAAGAACAGAGACCAATAGAGGGAAGCTGGACGAAGAACAGACGCAGCAAGGAGAAAAAAAAAGAGAAGAGTGAGACCGAGAGAAGAGCTCGGAGATGAGAAAAATGGCCAGGGACTCAAAGAAGAAGCTTGAGAGAGATGGCTGAGAGCTCTGGAGGGAAAAAAAAAAGAAGAGAAAGAGACTGAAGTTTTAAGGAAGATTAGACATCCAAGCCATTAACATAAGTTTGGTTAAAATGTTTTGCTTGAATAATGGCTAACGCGATTATGGCTATGATAAATTTTGTGTGCATATATGTTGTAGAAAGGAAAGGTAAAATTTGATTTAATTTTTTTAAGATGAGCATGTATTGAGTGAGTGTTTGTTCTGACTTAGCTTGGTGATTAATGCATATTTAAATCCATTTAAATTCTTAAAGATGGATTAACAATATGGTTCTTTAAAATTGTAATCTCGTGATCTTACTACTTGCATTATGAGAACTATCCAAATTTAAGTGTTTGATGATATATTAGGAAATATAAGAGTATGTCCTCAAACTTTAAAGCATCAGCTAAAGGTTATAAGTTTGAATCATATTTTTATTCCAAGTTTTCATGGATCCCTGTCCAATTACATATGAGACTAAATATGATCCTATATCCCTTAGTGATCAAAGAATATGGTTTAATTGAATTACTAGTTTTTTTTTTAAATTTGAAAATTTATCATTATGCTTGCTTATTAATCATGAAAACTTGTTAATTTCATGCTGATTGTTTGGGTATGGTTTGATCATAATATTAATCTCTCTAGCCTTTGATTTATTTGTTGTGTGAAATTTTAAGAATCTGCGTAGACAATTCTTATGATTCTGTATCGTGAAAATCAATAAGATTTTGCAGATATGAGGATCAATTTTGTATACAATATTATAGGTTCCAAAGACTCATCATTAAAATTAATTCTCTTTTTATAATTAATAAAATATTTAAGTCTCATGAGAGATTTTAAAAATCTTCATAGAGAATTAAATTAAGTGCATTATTGTGTGGGATAATAAATCCTCGCAGAATTTTGCAATTATTAATTTATATAGTAAATAAATGATTTTTTTGTAAATAAAATAATAAACATTTTTTATAATATTAATTAATTAAATTAATACATTTGAATTATAATCGCATTTTCTAATTAGATCTTTTGGTCACGTGAGACTGTAGATCTTTAGGATAATCGTACTATCGTGAGAGTCAATAAGGCTTCACAGGTATAACGATTAAAATTTTTATATTTAAAAACGCAAATTATATAATTACGCATTAAAATATATTTAAAATAAATAATATTTAATCCTTTATGGTGTGAGGATTTTGAATCTTCGCAGATATTCAGGATGATCGTATTACCATAAAAGTTAATAAGACTTTACAGGTATGATGATTAGGAGTCTTTTGAAAAAAAAAATATGTATGAATGCACTAAAAAAATAATGACATTATTTAAAAATTTAAGTAAATAAACTAAGTTGTTAAACTCTTTTATCATGTGAGAGTTTGGATTCTCCGCAGATATAACGAATAATTGTATTACTGTATGAACCAATAAGGCTCTGCAGGTATAGCAATTAAATTCTCGATCATAAAATATAAAAAATAAAAATAAAAATAATTCTTAAACCCTTTACCT